TTTTTTTTTTTTTTTTTTTTTTTTTTTTTTTTTTTTTTTTTTTTTTTGTTTTTTTGTTTATCTCTCCAACATTTGAAATGAATTAGCAGCATCATCTTCCTCGCGCCACCCCATCACACATGCTCCAGTTAGTGGTATATATAAATGAGTTTATATATATGTATATATATATATATATATAAATATACATGTATAGTGTATGCATCTGTAGCTGATTTTGTATATGCCAGACGAGCTTCATTGCTTCAACGAAGAGTTGGCCGGCAGCGTGGCAGAACGTTGCACATTCGGCGCATACGGCTTGTAGGCGGAACGTGTCGATTGGCTGCAGCGACGGTGGCGAGTAGCGGGTAGCGGGTAGCGAGTGGTGATAGTAGTTGATGGATAGTTGATGATGATAATGATGGTGTAGTGGTATGCAGCAGGGCGCAACGAATAGTTGGAGGAGAAAGAGGCGCGCGTAGCGAATGGTTCGAGTGGTACGGATCGAACAAGAGTAGCGAGCGATACGAGCGAGTAGTGTGTGAAACAAGCGAGAAAAGAGAAATACGAAATCAATTAGCTTAGGATTAGATACACAAAAAGCCATATATATCAATATTAGCAGCGAGTGGGTTACGGTTCTGCCTATAATCGTTTTGGCAACGTCAATGGGATTTCGGGGATTTTGAGCCGGTTTCTTTCAAAATTTCTCGTTTTCTGATTTATTCGTCGACTCTGTTTTACCTGGGCGATATTTTGCTGCCGTCTGTGGTGTTGTTATTGGATGAATTGGCCTTGTAGCCACTCTTCTGTATACGCTTGAGCAGGCGTGCCACCCACAGAGATTGCTCCTCGGGCGTGTTGGCCAAGAGCAGCATGTCGCGTGCGCTGCGCGGATCCAAATGCAGTTTGCACGGCGCCAGTGGATCTTGTTTGTCCACATGTTCCTTGTGTATCTTATTGCGGCATCTAGATTGCAGATAAAATGGAGAATGTGAAGATGGGTATATCACGACTTTACGAAAGATATATATTATTAGGTTTACCTCTTGCATTCGTAGGCCGCCGGCGGCTTAAACACGGACCAAAGCGGCTTGGCGCAGACGTCACAGAACGAAGGCGTGTGGTACGTAATGTGAACAAACTCATGACCTAGACAGGGATGGCAATAGAGTGTGAGTGAGATGGGAGATGAAAGGCAAAGAGTTAGAGTTGAATTTAGTTAATGCTTAAATTGTTTCTTATTATGAATTCAATCAGTCAGTTGGTCAATCCGCAAAGATCATGTGCTTCTAAACAGTCAATATTAAAGTCCATTAACAGTCAATTAGAAACAATCCCTATCATCAATCAGCATCAATCATCATCAATCTTCCAGCAGTAATCTTTATAGCTCAGACTAGTAGATGTAGTCAAAAATTCGTTTCTTCTTTAATCTACAATCTAAATCAATCACGCAATCAATCGCTCAGTCAATCATAGCTTACGCCGTATCCCACTTTAAATAACTAATACTCAATAATTTATAGCTCAGTTACCCTTATGCAAAATGGTGCCTGGCCGCTCCTCATTGCTGCTGGCATGCAGAGTCACATCCAGCTGCTCATCGGGACGATGGGAGGCGCCCTCGCCGGCGTACAGCAGCTGAAAGATGCGCGGAATCTCTTTGGCATCGGCGCGTATGACGTCGCCTTGGGTAACGCTGCGCACATGATAGACTTTGCTGCAAGGCGAAGTTTTGATACGGTTAGATCTGCACCGAAACTGTTGAGGAATAAAGACTTACCTTAGATCGAGTATGAGCACGGGATCTGTCGTTTTATTCTTGTCATTTTCTGTATTGTAGAAGATGATTTTGCGGGACGAGACGATCACATATTGTCGCTTCCAGTTCTGGCCGCGGCGGCGATTCTGTTTATTTGGCACAGACAAAACGCCCTCGAAGACAGAGTCCTATATAACAGAGATGAGAAGTCGTTGAGTGCGAGCAGAAAACGGACAAGAGTAATTGAGAGACATACCTGGGTATCCTCGGGATCGTTGTCGGCCGACGAGAGCGAGGCCGTCTCGTTGAGCTTACTCTGTAGATGCTCAATTTCGGTGGCCTTGCAATCGATCTCCATGCTCATCTTCTGCTTCACCTGCTGATCCTCGACGGCCTGCTGTTGGAGATCCTGATACTTAAGCAGCATCTGGTTGTATTTCTCGCGCTCCTGCGACAGCTCCTGCTGCAAGCGACGCATCTCCTTTTCCTTTTTGCGCAGCTCGGCGGTGGAGCGAGCCTTGACCTTTTGTTCTAAAAAAGACGAAAATACAGGATTAAACTACATGCATGTGGAGCACATTGGGAATGAAGATAAGAGACTTACTTGGCCAGTCGGAGTCGCGACGATTCATGACCTCGGTCAGCTTGGCCACGGCCACCTGTTTGAGTAGCACTTCGTTCTTGCACTTCTCGCCCAGTTTGGCGATCTCTTCGTCCTTGGCGATGCGCTGTTGCTGCAGCTCCTCGAGCTGTTTCTTGTGCTGCGCAAGCATTTCGTCCAATTCGCTGCTCTTCGATTTGAGTTTCTTGTGCAGATCGGCTTCGGTTTCTTTGAGCGCGGCTATGGTCGCCTCCTTGGCATTGATCTCGTTGCGATGCTTCATTATGAAGTCCTTCAGTTCGAGCTCCTTGATGGTTTTCTCCTTCTCGAGATCGGCCACCGTCTCCTCGGCAATGGAGCGAGCAAGTGCCTCCGAATCAGCGCGTGCGACTGCCACTTGCACTTGGTGCTTCAGCGAGACGCGCTCCTCCTCGAGATCCTCGATTTTGGACAAACGCTCGGCGCTCTCTTCCCGATTCTCGTTCGCCTGCGTCTTGTACAGCCGCGAGAAGCATTGCTCAGCCTCCAGCTGGGCTTGCAGCTCCCGATTGTTGGCCAATGCCTCGTGATGTGTGGCCTTCAGCTGCGTTAGATCCTCCTCCAAGCGTCGCTTAGCCTCGCGTTGCGCCGCCAGCTCCTTCTGCAGCTGAGCCTCCCGGGAACGCAAATGCGCCACCTCCGAAGTGTGCAGACTTCTTTCGGAGAGCAGCGAGTTGCGTTTGATATGCTCCTGGTCCAGCTGGGATTGGAGTGCGGCCACCTTTTCCGACTCCTGCCGGCACTCGCCCTCCAGCTTCTGCAGACGCAGCTGGATTTGGCGATAGTCAACGGAGAGCATGCTCAGCTGTCGCTCCTTCTCCTGCGAGTTCTGATCGGCCTTGATGCGTGCGGATTTCTCCTCATTGAGCTTGGACTGTAAGGCCTTCACCTCCTGCAGATTGGCCTCCTCGCGCGAAACGAGACGCGACTTCTCCGTCTCCTGGTGCGCGCGCACCTCCTGCTGATAGCGACCCTGAGCGGCCTTGAGCTCGAAATCGAGACTCGCATGCGTTCGCTCCAGTTCGCTAATCTTCTCCAGCAGCGCACGATTGTCCTCCTGCGCCTTCTGCTCCCGCTGCAGCGAGCGCTCCAAATCATTTGCCAGCGTCTGCATCTTGTTCTCCGCCTCCTTGTGCACAACCTTCAGCTGGGAGCGCAGCGTTTTCTCTTGCGCCACCTGCGCCTGCAAGTCGGCATTCTCCTGATCGAGCTCCTCCTTCTCCTTCTGCAGCGTCTTATTCAGCTCCGCCAGGTCGCGCACCTTCTCCTCGTGCGTTTTCAGCGTGAAGCCCAGCTCGGCATTCTGTTTCTTCAGCTTCTGTGTTTGCTCCGTTTCGTTCTTAAAGCTCAGCTCCATGTCGTGCAGCTGCTTCTCGAGCGTGAGGACCTTCTCATTGATATTCAGATCACGCATGCGTGTCTTTTGCTCGTTCTCCAGCTTCCGCTGTGTCTCCACAATCAACGCCTCCGCCTTCTTGCGCAGCTCGATCTCCACCTCGACCTTCTGCATGGCCACCTTGTAGTTGTGCTGCCTCAGCGTCAAATCCATTTCATATTCGCTCGCAATGCGCTGCAAGTCGGCCTCTCGCTTGGTGATCACATCCAGTTGTTGCCTCAATCTCGTGTCCTGCTGCTCCAGTGCCTCGCAACGAGCCCGTTCCCGTTCGAGCAGCGCCTCCAGCCGCTTCAGCTCATTCGAATTTGACGGCCGATGGCGATGATTGTGTCCATGATTGTTGTTTGCATTGGTGCTGCTGTTCACCGACTGTGATTCCTTTGATTCCGCATCGACAGTGTCGCTCGAGAGCAGCTGATAGTCGCCCGTATAGGTGAAGCCAATGAAGGGCAGATGATTGCCATCGAAACTCTTGGGCACCGGAAACATCTCCTCGGGCTTCTCATCCCGTTCAATATCCTCGAAATTGCGCGTATCATCGTCGGACGTCAGCTCCGGCACCACAGGCGGCACACTCTGTCGTATATTATCGAACGACCACGTGTCGTTGCGAAAGAACGGATGCGCCTTGATGTCCTCGATGCCATAGCGACCCAAGCGCTGTGTCCGATCCGTGAGGAAGGCGCGTATCAATGACTTTGCATTCTCACTGATCTCCACCTCGGCGGGAAAGCTGAGCGAGTTCTTGTGATCCATGATTTTGCCATAGGTGCCAACGAGAGAGTCCGCATAGAAGGGCGTCTCCCCGAATAGCATCTCATATAGGAATATGCCCACCGACCACCAATCGCACTCTCTGCCATACTCGTTGTCCACGCCCTGACTCTGCAGCACTTCGGGACTGATGTAGTCGGGTGTGCCCACCGCATTGCTGGACACCACCTGACCGTTGGGGCCCATGCGCATGCAGGTGCCAAAATCGGCTAGCTTCAAATGGCCATAGCTATCCAATAGCATATTGTCGGGCTTAACGTCGCGATGCACAAACCCCATATTGTGTATGGTGTCCAAGGCGAGGACCACTTCCATCGTATAAAATATGGCCCATTTCTCAGGTATATCATAGTCGCCCATTAGCGTGACAATATCACCGCCCGGCATAAAGTCCATCACCATATACAGGTATTTGCTATCCTGGAATGCGAAATGCAATTGTACAATCCATTCGGAGTTCGCATGCGCCATTATGTGACGCTCCTCCCAAAAGAAGGCGGAATCCGGACGTTTCATCATCTCAAATTTTGATAGCCGTTTCATGGCGTACACCTGACTGGATGACTTGTGCCTGACCAGCTGCACCTCGCCAAAGGCACCAGCTCCGATCAGTTTGATGAAATCAAAATCATCCACATTCATGCGCAGCTGATTGATCTGCTCAGCCAGGGGCTTATCTAGTATTATGAAAGAATGGAAAGTGAAATACATTTGCATTATATATCATATCAAAAACAATATATCTCTGTCTATAATACTCACATTTACACGCATATTGATCGATGTTCTTGAAACGCTTCAGCGATTCGTGTGCACAATCGCTGACCAGCGCCGAAACCGTGTCCAGCAGGCAGTCCACGTTACAGCTGCTGGTCGGATCGCGCATCTCGCGCTCCAGCGCCTTCGCTCTGCAAGGGAGGAAGAACAAGAGATCATCATTAGAGTAATGCAAATCGAATTTGATACATTTATCGATAGGCGATAACATCTATTGCTTATCAATCAAGCTGAATTATTCTCGACCGATATCCGATAACGATTACGATAACTATACTTTATATTAATACAGTTTTAATACGATTATTCATCGAAAAACAGCTTGTTCAAGTTTTCTAGAGAAGATATATTGATTGAGGCTTTCTACGTATTTAATTTCCACTTAAATAATGTCTATCGATTGCGATTTGCGATCAAAATAATGCTACCTATATAGTTCCATTGAGTTCTTCAAATTGTCTGTATCTGTCTCGCAATTTATGTTCAGCTGAGCGACACTGCCCAACAAAATTGTAGTATTCGAAAACCGATCATTATATCCCTATCTACATTATGATATCGCAGTACCATGCTTATCGATAGCAATGCTGAAATACTTTATGTCTATCTATTTGCTATTCAGTTTCTATATGCTCCTCACAATTTTGCTACCCCAACAAAAACGGGCATTTTGCTTCCCCCAAAAGGTTTTCAGTGTTCGATAATGTTATTAGGTCATTGCAAAGACATGATAGCCTGCTTCCGACAACAACAATAATAAAACTGGAAGTTTTCGTAATCAGCTTCATTATTTACATGATGCGGAAAAAAAAGCGCGTTCGATTACTCACATGCTTTATTGATATAAGCGAACCGTCCCGGGGGGATCGGAGAGAATTTGTGACTCAAAAACAACAGACAAATAGGCGCTACGACCGACGATGAACCATTGGCTAGTCTGATAAATTTGTATTTTGCTTTTTAAGAGGTACAGACTGTTAATTGAAGTTTGGAACTAGTTCGTTCACACTGGTTCGTTCAAATGAACTACTGCACGTCGTATTCAGAAACTTTTGAATTAATTGTAGTAGAGTATATGAGGAACTAGTCATAGAATTAGGACCATTGAACTAGTTCATAAATTTAATTTATAGTTCAGAACTGAGCGCTCTCTTCTCCATATTCCATATACAACTTGTTACTTTAGACGTGCTTAACTACATATATGAAACAAGTAATACTAGCCCTCTCTATATATACATCAAGAGCGCTTCAACCATATACTACGAATATCGAATACCTATTCTACGACCTAGTACTAGATATATATAAAAGTATTTGCCTAAGCTTAGAGTCCTTAAAATAATCGTATACCCAGTGGGCTTCTGATAGGCATGACTTACTGTATCTAACTGATTCAGGGCATAGACTCTTCAGCTTTTAGAGCAAAGTATTTGTTTTCTTTTCTCGTTTCCCCCTTGTTTTCTTGCACTGCGAACCTTGACTTTATCGCAGAGGCAAACGATCCATATGTTGACTTTGATAAATTGTTGGAATATATAAACATATATGTATATATATTTTTTTGATATGGTTATGCATCGTGTTTTCTTGTTCGCTGCATGCGAAACAGACAAATACAAAGAATAGAAAGAATGCGTATCTCTCTCAATCGGGTATATAGGCTAGGTCTAACGACTTGACCTTTATAGCTTGAGATGTACAGCTATTTAATATGGAATTTGTTTAAATACATATAGTATATATATGATTCTTAAGACTTTGAGTTTTCAATCTATTCTATCTAGGGTATTTCATAGTCGTTGAACATGCCATAAAATATACACTCTTCCGTATGCAATGTTTTTTCTTTGAATGAACGATAGCTCAGTCATGCAGAGTGCCACGCCCACCGACTCTACAAAAGGGGGCAAATGCAATCGCTAGAAGAATGAGAAGAAGAAGAAGCAGACGCAAATCCTAAAGCTGAGCAATTTGCAAACTTAAGAAGTCTACAAGTTTCTGGTCAAAATTTAGTGATTGATTAATTGAATGACTAATTGCTAGATTAACTGACTAATTGAACAACTTTTAAGCGGCTCAGCTCTTGCGAGTAATCAAAAAAAAAAAAAAAAAAAAAACCACAAGCAAAAAAAGTTTCATTAACAAATTAAATTCTTATCGCGCAGAGTGTAAATATATATACATATGTATATACATCAAATACATACATATATGTATATATTTATATATATTTGTGATATTATAATTCATTCATTCATTAATCAATGCAAGGAAGCAAATGGGCAGAATTTAGATAAAAGCTCGTATAAGGAAGATATTTGGCAGCTACGTAGCGTAAGGTTTGTTACGTAACGTAAGCAATTCTTAACAAGGAAATGCTAGATAGAGGACCGATGATCAAGGTAGAGTTAAGGGTAGAGAGAGAAGAGAATAGGGAAGGAGAGAGGCAGAGAGAGAGAGAGAGAGAGAGAGAGAGAGAGAAAGAGAGAGAGAGAGGGACTGAATTTAAGGGAGACAAAGAGAGTGAGAGAGTTATCGAAAGGAAAGCGGAGATGGAAACATATAGGGATCGAGAAATAGAAAAGGAAGACAGATAGAGAGCGAAATAGACATAGTACAAAGCGAGCTAAAGTCATACTTAAACTAAAACTGAAAGAGAGAGAGAGTGTGTGTATGTGCTAACGGTAATTGTAGAGGAAGAACGAGAGAGACACATAAGTAGAAACAGAGATAAAGAAGTTTGCAAACGAAACGATGCAACTATTATATATATAAGAACTACTAAGCCTAAGAGATATAAAGCAAACAGGCAAAGAGAGAGAGAGAGAGAGAGAGAGAGAGAGAGAGAGAGAGAGAGAGAGAGAG